TTACCAGGACAAGTGATTACATGGTATCCCAGGAAACCCCCTCTAACCACTTGCTGACCGCAGATAGCCGAATGACGGCTTCACTGCGGCCGGCCAATTCTGGGAGGATATCATATGATGTCCTCCTAGAACGAGCTTGGGGCGCGCACCCGGCAATCTCCACGATCGCTGTGTCCTACAGACACTAATGATCACGTGATATGATAAAAGGCCAATCACAGCAGCCTTTTACCACGTGATCAGCCGTGTCCAATGACACGCTGATCACCGGGAAACGCAATTGCCGGTTATCAGCTGCACTTTCCTCACGCTGTCACAGTGTGAGGAAAGTACTGCCGTAAACCGGCAGTTGTCAGAGGAGGGATCGGCACCGATCATCAGGGCACTGATGATCAGAGCCCTGATGATCGGTGCCCAGCAGTGCCACCCACCAGTGCTGCCCACAAGTGCCCAGCAGTGCCATCCATCAGTGGCACCAGTCAGTGCCCAGCAGTGCTGCCAGTCAGTACCCATCAGTGTCACTAGTCAGTGCCCAGCAGTGCTGCCAGTCAGTGCCCAGCAGTTTCACCAGTCAGTGCCTATCAGTGCCCATCCATGCCACCTCATCAGTGTGACCTATCCGTGCCCATCAGTGATGAAGAAAATCAGTGAAGCCTCATCAATGCACATCAGTGAAGAAGACAAATTACCCGTTTGCAAAATTTTATAATAGAAACAAAGAAAAACTTTTTTTTTCTTCAAATTTTTTTGCTCTTTTTTTTGTTTATAGCGCAAAAAATAAAACACCCAGCGGTGAGTAAATACCAAAAGAAAGCTCTAGTTGTGTGAACATTTTTTAAAAAATGTCATATGGGTACTATGTTGCATGACCGCGCAATTGTCATTCAAAGTGCAACAGCGCTGAAAGCTGAAAATTGGCCTGGTAAGGAAGGGGGTATAAGTGCCGGTAGGCATGCGGTTAATGTGTGTTTCCCCTTTTAAATAACAGCAATGGGAAAATTAAGATTGTCCAAGTGATAGACACTGAGCAGCAATGGCAGATTTCACTTACCTTTTCCAGCCAGATCACACGTCAGTAAACTTCTGTTCTCTGCCCAATGTTCACGAAGTAGCACAGGGTCAGTGGCTCCAGCTGTCAAAACACAAAACAAAACATCAGCGGGCACACAAGATGCCTTGTCTCACCCCACACCTCATTGCTAAAGCGCTATCACTGGATCCCGGGGAGGTGGAGGTGAGATTTCAGAAACAGATTTATTTATCTAGGCTAAAGGCGGTGAACGCAACTGACAAATCATCTGCTTTCCCTGCCTGGCTGCAGTTTTGAAGACTAAGCTTGAAGACTAAGCTGCCATATTGTGCCTTCCCCTTGCCAGCTTACTGCCAACAGGAGAAGCAACACTGCTGTCACATTTCCTGTCAACTTACACTGACCGGCCACTTTATTAGGTACACCTTGCTAGTGCCAAGAAAATATCTCCCACACCATGACACCACCACCACCAGCCTGAACCATTGATACAAGGCAGGATGGATCCATGCTTTCATGTTGTTTATAATCAGTCTGCCCATTCTCCTATGACATCAACAAGGCATTTTCATCCACACAACTGCCGCTCACTGGATATTTTCTCTTTTTCGGACCAGTTCTGCAGAATCCGGGACGGTCCCGCAGAATCCGGGATTGTTGGCGGTAAGATAGTACACAATACAGTAGTAAAAGATCAATTCCAAACAGCAAAATGACAACAGTCACATCCAACTCCTCTGTGTCTGGGGAACACAAAGCTTTCGAACTCAGATCCCTTCTGCAGATTAGGTGCAGTAACTGAGGGTGGATTAAATGTCCGATCCAGAGTCAGCTGTGGTCAGATCTTCCTACGTTTTCCTGAGGAACACTGCAAGAATTAAACACCTTATTCTTCAGAATCATTCTTTCATTATCTGTTTACAAAGATCTGCACCCTCTACAGAGAGCGCAGAATTTAGCAGTCGGAATGTTCGCCGACCTTAGCATGTTTGCACAGCACCGATACTTTGCTCATTCCACTGATATCTGTAAAAAATACATTTCTTTTTTTTTTTTTTAAATCAGAGAACAGTTTATGGAAAAACTGTAAACTATTCAATGGTATAAAACCATATAAAACCACGTAGTACATCTCGGGTCGATGTAACCATGTATTGTGTATACATGGAATTATAACGATTCCCGAGAGTAAAGAACATAAAATATTATCTGTAACAACAGCTGACAGTCTAACCAGTGCTCCAAACTGCGGCCCAGAGGCCAGAGAAACAGCCCTTTGCTTGCATTTATCTGGCCCTTAGGGCAATATTTCATCCGCTGACACCAACAATGGGGCACAATTCTTCCCAATGACACCAACAATGGGGCACGATTCCTCCCAATGAAAGCAATGATGGGGCACAATTCCTCCCAATGACCGAAATAATGCGGCACGATTCCTCCCAATGACACCAACGATGGGGCACAATTCCTCCCAATGACAGCAACGATTGGGCACAATTCTTCCTACCAATGATGGGGAACATTTCCTCCCAATGACACCAACAGTGAGGCACAGTTCTTTCCAATGATACCAGCAATGGGGCCCAATGACACCAATGATGAGGAATGATTCCTCCCAATGACACCAAAGATGAGGTTCAAAAAATTATTGAAGCCCTCCAAAGCTAGAACTGGGACATCCAGGTATGGAGCTATAAATTGAGCAAGCTTTTTCAAAGGGTTGAAGAAACTGGTTGTGGGACATTCATGACAGCAACTACTGTATACATAGAAAACCATTAAATTTACACACTAGAAAAACATATTGACCCATTTCGTCCATCCGCTGCTTTGGACGCACAAACGAAACGGATGGAATCGAGTTGTAAATGAGTCTCTTGCAAACATATTCAAGACGGCTGCAGACGATTACAAAAATTAAACATAGCCCCTCTCTTAATCTTCTCTTTTAGTCCCAGTACATTCCAGGACAGTAAAAGTAAACTTTTATGAACTGCGTACCGCATGGAACAGATTAACAATGACTCAGGGGGGAGCCGTAGGGTTTTCCCCCTTGTGCAGGATATTAAACTGATAAACATGTGTGCAGGACTATAGACTCTAGTGACATTTGGATATTTCATCTTACCATATTATTTTTATAATAATATACAATATTTATATACGGTCAACAGTTTGCTCAGCGCTTTACAATATAACGGGAGACAATACAGCAACAATACAGTTCAATACAAGAGGGATAGGAGGGCCTGATCCTTGGAGCTTACAATCTAAGAGGGAGGGGCTGGTGATACGAAAGGTAATAACTGTGGGGGATGGACTAGAAGGAGGAATAGAAGATTCCATTATTAGCTGAAGGCAGGATAGACTTCCCTGAAGAGATGGGTTTTCAGAGATCGCCTAAAAGTGAGCAGAGTAGGCGATAGTCTGATAGATTGAGGTAGAGAGTTCAAGGATGGGGGAAGCTCTGGAGAAGTCCTGGAGACGAGCATGGGAGGAGGAGACAAGGGAGCTAGAAAGCAAGTCATGCAAGGAGCAGAGAGCACAGTTTGGGTGATATTTGGAGACAAGATTGGTAATGTAATTTGGGGCAGAATTATAAATGGTATAAATCACTGTATTTATCTAGGTCAAAGGAAAATGACCTTCTAAATACAAACTGCACTATAAAAATACCATGTGTATACTGTAAAACAAATAATCAGCTGCCACTTTCCACTGTAAAAAATTATAAACAAATCAAATTCTGTATTAACAAAATATTAGTGCAGCGCTCTGTAAATAATAAAGTGATAATCAACAAAAAAGTCCATACATCAAAGTCCTTCTGTAATCACCATGTGAATTAAATCAAAGTTGCCAAAAATTCACCACGTGACTGCTTAAATAATTTCTCCAATGTGCTGTGCTCCCCCTTCAGGTGTGCACTCACCAAATTTATTTTTGCCTCCCACTCTCATGGTTGGCAAATGCACTTTTGTATATATTTATATTCCTCCAGAGTAAAGGTGATTTCTCATATCACAAATCGATTCCTCCCAAGAATGGTTCAAATCCTCCAATATTATTGCCTCTGATATGGACTCTCCACAGACATCACATAAAAGAAAAAAGAGAGAGACCCGACATGGTGCAGTACCATTTCAAACCATTTATTCTCTGCCCAGAGAATCTCACTAAAAAGATGATGAATTAAAATAAGCCCAAAGACATGAAAACCTAAGACCGTACAATGCTCTCACCACTGCCGGTCCTCGCCCTCGGACAATCCCGTGTCACTTCCGGTTCCAATGTTCGTCACTTCGGTTATCGCTTAGCCAATCTCTGACGCGTTTCATCACTTCCGGACTTAATCATAGGGAGTGGCTATGCAGTGCGGCTTCACACTTTTATAGAGTAGTGTGTGTACGATCAACTCACGGATGTGATAATTGGTTATCTAGATCCATCATTACTATGTGCCTTATACGCCCTTAACCTGGCGGAAGTCCTCCACCTTTGGATACATCAACACATAAAGAAACCAACATTTTTAATCTGGGATTGAAATGTGCCCCTAAGAAACCTATTAATAAATTCAACGTTTATATAGACGTACATAAATACATACGTCAATTGAAGCTAAAAAAATATTTTCTTAACAATCCGAAAATGAATATTGATAAACAACTCCAAGAGGGTAGGTGTTTAGACAGTGGTCTCCATAATAAATCCACATTTAACTAGTTGCCGACCGCAGATAGCTGAATGACGGCTGCACTGAGGCCGGCCAGTTCTGGGTGGACGTCATATGACGTCCTCCCAGAACGCGCTCTCCTGCGCGCCCCAGGGGGCGCGCACCCGGCGATCTCCGTGATCGCTGTGTCCTACAGACACAGCTGATCACGTGATGTGGTAAAAGGCCAATCACAGCGGCCTTTTACCACGTGATCAGCGGTGTCCAATGACACGCTGATCACAGGGAAATGCAATTGCCGGTTCTCGGCTGCACTTTCCTCACGCTGTCAGATCGTGAGGAAAGTACTGCCGAGAACCGGCAGTTGTCAGAGCGAGGATCGGCACCGATCATCAGGGCACTGATGATCAGTGCCCTGATGATCGGTGCCCAGCAGTGCCACCCACAAGTTCCGCCCACCTGTGCCAAGCAGTGCGCCCACTAGCTCCACCCACCTGTGCCCAGCAGTGCACCCACCTGTGCCCAGCAGTGCACCCACCTGTGCCACTCTGCAGTGTTACACACCTGTGCCCACCAGTGCCACCCACCTGTGCCCACCCACCTGTGCTGCCCACCAGTGCCACCCACCAGTGCAGCCCAGCAGTGCTGCCAGTCAGTGCCACCAGTCAGTGCCCAGCGGTTGTGCCAGTCAGTGCCGCCAGTCAGTGCCCAGCAGTGATGCCAGTCAGTGCCGTCTATCAGTACCCATCAGTGTCACCTATCAGTGCCGCCTATCAGTGCTGCATATTAGTGCCGCCTATCCGTGACACCTCATTAGTACTGCCTATCAGTGCCCTTTAGTGCTGCCTATCAGTGCCGCCTATCAGTGCCCATTAGTGCTGCCTCATCAACGCAAATCAGTGAAGGAGAAAAATTTTATAATAGAATCAAATTTTTTGCACTTTTTTTTGTTTAAATACCACCAAAAGAAAGCTCTATTTGTGAGAAAAAAATGATCAAAATTTCATATGGGTACAATGTTGCATGACCGCGCAATTGTCAATCAAAGTGCGGCAGCGTTGAAAGCTGAAAATTGGCCTGGTAAATAAGGGGGTATAAGTGCCTGGTAGGCAAGTGGTTAACCCCCCAAATGTGGCTAATCAATGCATAGATGTATTTAAGAATCTTGTTATTAGGGATTTAGAATGAATTAACCCAAAAAAACACATTAATGCCCCACATATTCCCCACATAGAAGGGATAAAAGATTTAGAAGAAAGAAAGGACATTATAATTAGACCTGCAGATAAAGGAGGGGGTGTTGTCATTTTAGACAAAACCTTCTACATACAACAGGTAAAAACCATGTTGAATTACTAGGAAAAAACTAAAATTCCACTATATATACCGCCATTTGTAAACGCTATAACTTTCATGTAAACCAATTGATTTACATGTATTGGGATTTTTTTTTTTTTTTGCAAAGACATGGAGAAGAATACATTTTGGCTTAAATTTATGACGAAATTTGATTTTTTTAATTTTTTACTGGACATGTTTAATAGCAAAAAGTCAAATATTGGGGGTTTTTTTTTTCAAAATTGTCGTTCTTATTTTGTTTATAGCGCATAAAATAAAAACCGCACAGGTGATCAAATACCACCAAAAGAAAGCTCTATTCGTGGGGGAAAAAAAAGGATGTAAATTTCATTTTGGTGCAGCGTTGCATGATCACGCAATTGTCAGTTAAAGTAACGAAGCGCCGTATGGCAAAAAAATGGCCTGGTGAGGAAGGAGGTAAATCTTCTGGAGTACAAGCAGTTAACCACTTCCCGACCGGCCGTTGCATATAAACGGCCGGACGGTGGCACTGCAGGGTCGGGTGGCCGTTTATAAACGGCCTCCCCGCACCCTGCTTGTGCGCGCTCCCCGGGAGCGCGCAGCACCGTGATCCGGTGACCGCTGTGTCCTCCGGACACAGTGAAACACCGATCGTCGGACGGGACCTCTGTACGAGGTCCCGATCATGTGATCACTGATTGGACAATCAGTGATCACATGAAGAGTAGTAAGCAAGATGTCACTTGTGACATCACTGCTTACTACGTGTGAAATCTGTGAATGATCACAGAGGTCACATGGTACAAGGCTATTCACAACAGCCTTGTACCATGTGACAAGCTGTGACCAATCACAGCTCACTCAGTACTTCTCAATGACTGCAAGAATGCACACAGAGAGAAAGAGAAATGATTGCTTTTACATCCTATATGGGTGTAAAAGCAATCAGTGTAAAAAAAAAAAAAAAAAAATCTTCATCACCCCCACAAGTAGTACAGTGTCACCATTGTGACACTGTACTGCTAGGGTGACAGTATGTAAAAAAAAATAAAATATAAAAAAATAAAATAAAAATGTAAAAAAAAAATTTTAAAAATTATAATTTTTGGTTATAAACTAATTTTTTTTTTTTTTTTTTTTACTAAAAAGATAACGGAATAAATTTTGGCAAAGATTTATGATGAAATATTATTTATTTGCAAAATTTTATTAAAAAAAAACACTTTTGTTCAAAATTTTTGGACTATTTCATTTACATAGCAAAAAAAATAAAAATCCCAGCGGTGAATAAATACCACCAAAATAAAGCTTTATCTGTCTCAAAAAAATGGTAAAAAATTAGTTTGGGTACAGTGTTGCATGACTGCGCAATTGACATTCAAAGTGTGATAGCACTGAAAGCTGAAAATTGCCCTGGACAGGAAGGGGGTAAAAGTGTCCGGTCTGGAAGTGGTTAATATACAGTTATTGGGATTTTTTTTTTTTTTTTTTTTTCTTTACCAGAGACATGGAGCAGAATACATTTTGGCCTAAATTTATGACTAATTTTGAGTTTACTATATATTTTTTATAGCAAAAAGTCAAAAATATTGGGGGGGGGGGGGGGGGGGTTTCAACATTTTTGGTCTTTTTTTGTTTATAGCGCAAAAAATAAAAACTGCAGAGGTGATCAAATACCACCGAAGGAAACCTCTATTTGTGGGGAAAAAAAGGACAACTTTAATTTAAGTACAGTATTGCATGACAGCGCAATTCTCAAACTAGTGCAGCGCCATACAGCAAAAAGTGGCCGAAATTTCAATATCTATGCCGCCATTTGTAGATGCTATAACTTTTACACCAATTAACCACTTCAATATCGAGCACTTTTACCCCCTTCCTGCCCAGGCCAATTTTCAGCGCTGTCGCACTTTCAGCCCAGGTTCACATATATGTAGTATATCGCATGTGATTCACACAGGAACCGCACCGCATTCCTGTGCAAATCACATGCAATTTGTGTGCGGTGTGATTGGAGCCATACATTTTGTATGGTTCTAATCGCACCGCACCAAAACGGTGCAGGACCATTTTTTTGGGATCGGATCGCATGGGTATTCACACCTATGCGATCCGATTCTTCACATCACACCGCGCTGTGCGGATTGTTTTCAGGGTGTTGTTAACATACACACCCGCAGCGGTTTGCATGAACGGGGCGCGATTCTGATGCAGTGCAGAATTCTTACAGAAAATGCTGCAAATTCCTCACCGCATCACTGTGAACCCAGGCTTGATGACAATTACACAGTCATGCAGCACTGTGCCCATATGACATTTTTATCATTTTTTTTTCACACACATAGAGCTTTCTTTTGGTGGTATTTAACCACTAGCCTACACGGCACTTATACCCCCTTCCTGTCCAGGCCAATTTCCAGCTTTCAGCGCTGTCACACTTTGAATGACAATTGCACGGTCATGCAACACTGTACACATATGAAATTATCTTTTTTTTTGAGACAGGTAGAGCTTTCTTTTGGTGGAATTTAATCACCTCGGGGGGGGGGGGGGGGGGGGTATTTTTTGATAAACAAAACCAAAAACCACTGAAAATTTTGAAAAAAAAAAAAAGTTTTTCTTATCTTTTTGTTATAAAATTTTGTAAATAAGTGATTTTTCTCCTTCACTGATGTGCGTTGATGAGGCTGCAGTGATGGGCACTGATGGGCATTAACAGGCATCACTGATGGGCACTGAAAGCAGCACTCATATATGGCACTGATAGGCGGCACTGACTGGCACTGTTAGGCAGCACTGATAGGTGGCACTGATGGGCATTGACAGGCATCACTGATGGGCACTAAAAGGCAGCACTCATATATGGCACTGTTAGGCAGCACTGATGCGCACTGATAGGTGGCACTGGTAGGTGGCACTGATGGGCATTGACAGGCATCACTGATGGGCACTGAAAGGCAGCACTCATATATGGCACTGACTGGCACTGTTAGGTGGCACTAATGCGCACTCACTGATAGGTGGCATTGACTGGCACTAATAGGTGGAACTGATAGTTGACACTGAAAGGCAGCTCAGATGGGCACTGATATGTGGCATTGATGGGCACTGGCAGGTGCCATTGATGGGCACTGACAGCTGGCATTGGTAGGCAGCACTGATGAGGTGGCACTGATGGGCAGCACTCATGGGCACTGATGAGGCGACACTGGTGGGCATTAATGAAGCACTTATGATGCTGCACTGATATGCAGCAATGATGGTCACTGATAGGCACTGATATGTGGCATTGATGGGCACTGGCAGGTGCCATTGATGGGGACTGACAGCTGGCATTGGTAGGCAGCACTGATGAGGTGGCACAGAAAGGTGGCACTGATGGGCGGCACTCATGGGCACTGATGAGCCGACACTGGTGGGCATTAATGAGGAGGCACTTATGATGCTGCACTGATATACAGCAATGATGGTCACTGATAGGCAGCACTGACTGACGGCCCTGCTGGGCACAACTGCTGGGTGGCACTAATGGGCACTGGTGGGGGGTACTGCTCTCATCAGTGCCGTTCTCCTCTGTGACAGCTATCGGCAGTACAGTCGATAACCAGCAACTTTATTTACACCGCGATCTGCTGTGTCATCGGACACAGCTGATCACGTGATAAAAGGCCACCGTGATTGGCCTCTTACCTCATCACGTGATCAGCTGTGTCCATAGGACACAGCAATCATGAAGATTGCAGGGGGCGCGTTCTGGGAGGACATCATACGACGCCATCCCAGAACTGGGTAACCGCACAGTAGCCGTCATTCGGCTATAGCGCGGTTACCATGTGGTTACTATGCAGTCACTGGAATTTTTTTTTTTTTTTTTGCCAAAGCCATAGCGGAATACATTTTGGCCTAAATTGATGAGGAAATTTGAGTTTATTGGATATTTTGTTATGACAGAAATTAGATTATATTGGTTTTATTTCAAGATTAATATATTTTTTTTTTTATAAAGTTAAAAAAAAAAAAAAACCCCAGAGGTGATCAAATACCACCAAAAGAGAGTTTTATGTGTGTGAAAAAAGGACAAATTTTGTTTGGGTGCTGTGTTGCATGACCGCGCGCAATTGTCAAATGAAATAGCAAGGAAAAAAAAAAAAAAGGCCAGAAAGGGGGTAAGTCATCCGGGGGGCAAAGCGTTAATTTTTTTTAAACTTTTTTTTTTTTTTTTTACATTTTTTCACTTTTTTCTCTCATCCTTTCATGGGAGGAATAGTGACGCACACGAAAATGGTGCCCCGCCCCTAGTAACGGTCATACCATCATTGAGTGAAAGTCCTTGGAGACGGTCATAAGGAATATCCCGCCATGACGGAACCCCAATCCCAGGCGGGGGAAGCCTCGCTGTCAATCATTTCAGATCTGGCTCGTTCTCCTCACATACTCAGCCCGACTCCCCGGACAATAGCTGGTCCCAAGCACGGCCATTTTTAACGGGGCAACTGCCCCTTGAGCCCGCGAAGACCGTTAAAAAGATGGCTGCGGCTGGCTTTAGAACGCCTCATACGCAGTTCTGTAACATGCCTAATGCTCCTCCTGCAGAGTCCGACTGGGGCTGTGGTGCGGCAGAGCGGGTCCCGGAGGCTGCATGACCTGTAGCGTCTTTCTCTCACCTCAGCTTTGAAATCCCCGCCTCGGTGTTTTTTTACCTCACCAGTGTCCCAACCAATCATTTCCCGTCCCGCCTTCACGTGACCTTGACCCCAGCAACAGCCGGTCACTCCGCCCCCCCTAGCAACCGGAGCTGTGACCAGTGGGGCGAGGGAAGGGGGAATGCTCCGCCCTCCTTTTTACAATCCATGCTCGGAGCTCTCCAGCAGGGGCGGACTGACAACTCATGGGGCCCCCCCAATAGGGGATCATGGGGCCCCTGTGTCTTCGCCCACACTCAAACCACACCCTGAAAAACACTATGAAAGGTACCAGGGGCATCTCATGGGGCCCGCTACTGACCACGGGCCCGTGCCCGAATTGTCAGTCCGCCCCTGCTGTCACCCAGGACACTGATTACATGAGTTGTGTGGGGACACTGATTACATGAGTTGTGTGGGGCCACTGAGAGCACCTGTTCTGATCAGGAAGGACCATGATTAGGGCAATACAGGGGTGGGGCAGTCTCTGACATCTCCACTCTCCTGTACCATGTCTGCAGTCTCTGACCTCCTGTATCATGTCTGAAATCTCTGACCTTCTGTATCATGTCTGAAGTCTCTGACCTTCTCCTGTATCATGTCTGAAATCTCTGACCTTCTGTATCATGTCTGAAGTCTCTGACCTCCTGTATCATGTCTGAAGTCTCTGACCTTCTCCTGTATCATGTCTGAAGTCTCTGACCTTCTGTATCATGTCTGAAGTCTCTGACCTTCTGTATCATGTCTGAAGTCTCTGACCATCTCCTGTATCATGTCTGAAGTCTCTGACCTTCTGTATCATGTCTGAAGTCTCTGACCGTCTCCTGTATCATGTCTGAAGTCTCTGACCGTCTCCTGTATCATGTCCTGAAGTCTCTGACCTTCTGTATCATGTCTGCAGTCTCTGACCGTCTCCTGTATCATGTCTGCAGTCTCTGACCATCTCCTGTATCATGTCTGAAGTCTCTGACCTCCTGTATCATGCCTGAAGTCTCTGACCGTCTCCTGTATCATGTCTGCAGTCTCAGACCGTCTCCTGTATCATGTCTGAAGTCTCTGACCTTCTCCTGTATCATGTCTGAAGTCTCAGACCTTCTCCTGTATCATGTCTGAAGTCTCAGACCTTCTCCTGTATCATGTCTGAAGTCTCAGACCTTCTCCTGTATCATGTCTGAAGTCTCTGACCGTCTCCTGTATCATGTCTGAAGTCTCTGACCGTCTCCTGTATCATGTCTGAAGTCTCTGACCTCCTGTATCATTTCTGAAGTCTCTGACCATCTCCTGTATCATGTCTGAAGTTTCTGACCTTCTCCTGTATCATGTCTGAAGTCTCTGACCTTCTCCTGTATCATGTCTGAAGTCTCTGACCTTCTCCTGTATCATGTCTGAAGTCTCTGACCTTCTCCTGTATCATGTCTGAAGTCTCTGACCTTCTCCTGTATCATGCCTGAAGTCTCTGACCTCCTGTATCATGCCTGAAGTCTGACCTTCTCCTGTATCATGCCTGAAGTCTCTGACCTCCTGTATCATGCCTGAAGTCTCTGACCGTCTCCTGTATCATGTCTGCAGTCTCTGACCGTCTCCTGTATCATGTCTGAAGTCTCTGACCTTCTCCTGTATCATGTCTGAAGTCTCTGACCTTCTCCTGTATCATGTCTGAAGTCTCTGACCTTCTCCTGTATCATGTCTGAAGTCTCTGACCATCTCCTGTACTGCTCTACTGACACCAACCTCTGCTCTATTGATACCATGCACTGCTCTATTGACACCCACTTCTGCCCTACTAACACTGTCCACTGCTCTGATGTCAGTGTCCTTTGACCTACTGATAACATCCACTGCTCTACTAACACTGACAATGGCTCGCAGTCTCCGCTCCAATTCATCCCAAAGGTGTTTCTATGGGGTTGAGGTCAGGGCTCTGTGCAGGCCAGTCAAGTTCCTCCACCCCAAACTGGCTCCTCCATGTCTATATGGACCTTGCTTTGTGCACTGGTGAGCAGTCATGTTGGAACAGGAAGGGGTCATCCCCAAACTCTTCCCACAAAGTTGGGAGCATGAAATTGTCCAAAATGTCTTGGTATGCTGATGCCTTAAGAGTTCCCTTCGCTGGAACTAGGGGGCCAAGCCCAACCTCTGAAACACAACCTAACCCATAATCCTCCCTTCACCAAACTTTACACTTGGCACAATGCAGTCAGGCAAGTATCGTTCTCCTGGCAACCGCCAAACCCAGACATGTCCATCGGATTGCCAGACAGAGAAGTGTGATTGGTCACTGCAGAGAATACGTCTCCGTTGTCCAGTGGTGGCGTGCTTTACACCATGGCATCCGAGGCTTTGCATTGCACTTGGTGATGTAAGGCTTGGATGCAGCTGCTTGGCCATGGGAACGATACTTTTGCCATTATTGTGTATATGGTATCACCTAATGTTATTTCTTCCTAGACGTGTCCCACAAGGTGGCATCAGAGACAACACAATAACTATGGCAAATGCTGAATTCTCAAAGACAGGCCATAGTTATTGCACAAGATGCAGAGTACTGTACTGAGAACCTTGTCTTCCTCTGCATTATGAAAGTGAAACTTGCAAATGAGAAATAAATGTATTCAAACAGCATGAGATCCGATTCAGGAACAGGGGCGGACTGACCATTTGGAAACTCGGGCACTGCCCGAGGGCCCGGGGTCAGTATGGGGCCCCTTGAGATGCCCCTGGTACCTTTTTCATAGGCTTTTTTGAGTTTTGGCAAGGACACAGGGGCCCCATGATCCCCTATTGCCCCATGAGTTGTCAGTCCCGCCACTGTTCAGGATGCTTTTGAACAAGCAAGGCCTCTTCCATTAGCAAAGGTTCATTGATCAGATACAAAATATAAGTTCAAAGGTCAACTTACAATAATAATTGCTCTATTATTATTACTATACAGGATTTATATAGCACCAACAGTTTGCTCAGCGCTTTACAATATAATGGAACACAAAAGTGAGCAGAGTAGGAGATAGTCTGATCAATTGGGGTAGAGAATTCCAGAAGATGGGGGAAGCTCTGGAGAAGTCCTGGAGATGAGCATGGGAGGAGGAGACAAGGGAGCTAGAGACAGGAGGTCATGCGAGGAGCGGAGAGTACTGATTGGGTAATATTTGGAGACAAGATCGATGATGTAATTTGAGTTATAAATGGCTTTATATGTTATTTGCAGCCAGTGGCACAGGGAACATCTCACAAGTAGAAGGAAAAATGGATTCAATAAAATTTCAGCAAATTTTGGATGGTAACTTGATGCCATCTGTGAAAAAGCTGAAGTTAAAGAGAGGATGGCTTCTACAAATGGATAATGATCCTAAACACACCTCGAAATCCACGGGGGATTACATCAAGAGGTGTAAACTGAAGGTTTTGCCATGGCCTTCACAATCTCCTGACCTCAACATAATTGAAAATCTATGGATAGACCTTAAAAGAGCAGTTCGTGACAGACAGCCCAGAAATCTCAAAGAACTGGAAGACCTTTGTAAGGAAGAATGGGCAAAGATACCTCAAACAAGAATTGAAAGACTCTTGGCTGGCTACAAAAAGCGTTTACAAGCTGTGATACTTGCCAAAGGGGGCAGTACAAGATATTAACTCTGCAGGGTGCCCAAACTTTTGCAGACGCCATTTTTTTGTTTTCTGTTATTTTGAAAGTGTAAATGATGGAAATAAAATCTAACTTTTGTTGACATATTATAGGAATGTCTAATCTGTAATTTGATGCCTTTTGGAGATTTTTCCATCTTTCCTTGGCTTCTTTATGCACATTAATACAAATTTTTAGCTGGGGTGCCCAAACTTTCAATCCCCACTGTATATATAAATATACCCCAAGCACTAAAAAATATTTCCAATATCCAAACTCCACCTGAAGTTGCTCCAAGCACCCACATTTAATGATAGTACACCTCTTTCGGTAACTGAAGTTATCTTGTGGAAGGATACAATGTAACCCGCATGTCGTTTTCTCAGCCCGAGGATGATGACTGTGCATGCCTATACATCCGGAGTACAATGTCTTCCTCCTATAGACGGTGATGTCACAATGTGGATGTGGTCTGCAGAGCCGTTCTGTGCTCCAGATAAGAGATGTGGCAACACGTGCTTCACATTGTCTGACGATTGGGGTGCTCTCCGCTCAGATGAAATATTCCTGTGCTTCACAATCACCGTCCTGTCTACATAGTGCAATCTGTAGACGGTGTCACCTTCACTTTCTATTTTGTGAAACTGTTAATCCACTTTTATTGGGGAAAAAATACTCTCCAGGTGTTCTATGTAAATTTACACATAGGGTTTCCACTGGTAGTTCTCTTTGGAAGCAGGCAGTATTGAAGGCATTTTGTCATTGGACAGCATCTGCAATGTTTACAACAGCATCACTAGGTCATGCAGGGGCGTATTTACCACAAGGCAAACAAGGCATTTGCCTAGGGAGGCATTTTTTCAGGGGGGCAGCACCGAACCCCATGGAAGAAGGGACAAAAGAGGGACATATGCGGCTTGGGGACCTGGTGGGATCTGAGAGAAGCTGCGGGCTGCTTGACACTCGTTCCTGGGGATGTCCAGAGCTGTGAAGGTGAGTATCCTTTTTGCTGGGAGGGGAGTAGCCGGTGTATGGGGGCAATGGTAGTGGAAGGCTGTCTAAGGTGGGGAGGGGGCAGGGGTGTTGTTGGTCAATCTCAGGCTCTCTTCGTGGGGAGTTGGGGGGGGGGGGTCAATTTAGTGTTGCCTAGGGCAGCACAAAACCTAAATACGCCACTGAGGTCATGCCATGCATGGCTGCAAGTACTTAGTATTTAAAGCCCAACTCGAGGGAAACATTTTTATTTAAAAAAAATTTAGTGCCCCACAGCTGTGATGGCAGGCGCCCGGAATGATTCATTGACGCTGTTCCCCTACAGCAGTGTTTCTCAACTCCAGTCCTCATGGACCCCCAACAGGTCATGTTTTCAGGATTTCCATTATTTTGCACAGGTGATTTGATCAGTTTCACTGCCTTAGTAATTACCACAGCTGTTTCATCTGAGGGAAATCCTGAAAACATGACCTGTTGGGGGTCCATGAGGACTGGAGTTGAGAAACACTGCCCTACAGTAACTTCTTTCTGCCACAAGTTGTCCTCAGTCTTCCAGGTTGAATGACAGACAGGCCATCCTTTAAGAGCAGGGTGTCATGGACCCACCCCTTAAGAGTGCATTATTCCAGAATGGAATTTGGGGGACAGCAAGCATGTTAATTAAAGGAATTTTGCATCTTTGACTCAAATTTCATTTTTATGCCTTAATAAAATTATTGCTGCCCACCAAAACAGGTTTTTTTTTTTAAATTGTTTGCATTGGACATGTCCCCCGGGGCAGTGACCCCCTCCCTTCCCATGCGTCGCCCTTTCATGTGCTCCTGCTGCAAAGGCCAGTTATAGGTTGGGATGGTTGCCATTTGTTTGTACTGTTGGTGAATTGGTGCACTGGATATCTTTGATGCCATTGTGCTATTGCTGGGTGTCCAGTGCATCCCTATACCTTTAAGGAGGGGTGGGCTCCCTCCCGGCATACCTGTCTTTGATTTATCCATTGCTATGAGTGGGCTCCCTCCCGGCATACCTGTCTTTCATTTATCCATTGCTATGGGTGGACTCCCTCCCGGGATACCTGTCTTTCATTTATCCATTGCTATGAGTGGGCTCCCTCCCGGCATACCTGTCTTTGATTTATCCATTGCTATGAGTGGGCTCCCTCCCGGCATACCTGTCTTTCATTTATCCATTGCTATGGGTGGACTCCCTCCCGGGATACCTGTCTTTCATTTATCCATTGCTATGAGTGGGCTCCCTCCCGGCATACCTGTCTTTGATTTATCCATTGCTATGAGTGGGCTCCCTCCCGGCATACCTGTCTTTCATTTATCCATTGCTATGGGTGGACTCCCTCCCGGGATACCTGTCTTTCATTTATCCATTGCTATGAGTGGGCTCCCTCCCGGCATACCTGTCTTTGATTTATCCATTGCTATGGGTGGACTCCCTCCCGGGATACCTGCCCTTGATTTATCCATTGCTATATATGTCCTCCAACTCAGGAGACTCAAAATTTACAGAGTTAGGACTGCTGTACACTGGAGTGCCGTGACATGGCCACTGCAGCTCATGCATATACTGTATTTGCAAATGTGTGCAAACTAAACCCCTTGGTTTTAACGTGAACTGGTAAACAGGGTCAGTTCAGTTTGTTGCAGGCTGGCTGGTAAGTGAGCTGGGAATTTTTGGCTTTTTTTTCACATGCGTCGACCTTTCATGTTCTCCTTTCTGCAAAGGCCAGTTACAGAGTGGAGTGGTTGCAATTTGTTTGTACTGTCAGCGCCCCCCACCCCCAGTGCCCTTTGTTTGACTTGGGAGGTCCTCATGCTGTTTTTTTTACAAAAGAAAAAAAAAAGCCTACAGGAAAATATCATTTACAGGCAAATGGTAATTTTTTTTCTTTGTAAACGTCACGTTTGCTGCAGTACATCTTATAGGTGCGCCACTTCACAGGCATGTTATGTAAAGGAACTGTTTTTATTGTATTTTTATTGTTGCTTTTTAAGCCTTATTAAAAGAGCTGCTCCCTACCAAAGTGTAATTTTATTTATTTATTTATTTTATTGATACAAGTCCCCCAGGTTAGTACCCACACCTTATGCCCTTTGTGTGAGCTGGGAGGTCCCCATGCTGTTTTTTTACAAAAAAAAAGCTGGCAGGAAAATATAATTTATAGGCAAATGGTATTTTTTATTTTATTTTATAATTTTCCCTTTTGCTGCAGTACATCTTACAGGTGCGCCAATTTACAGACAGGTTTAAGAAATCCCCCAGGCGTGTTATTTAACCACTTGCCCTCCTGAGGATTTACCCCCCCCCCCTCCCCTCTCTTCCTGACCAGACCATTTTTTTGCATTACGGCGCTGCGCTACTTTAATTGACAATTGCGCGGCCATGCAATTGTGCACCCAAATGAAATTTACATCCTTTTTTTTCCAACGAATTTATCTTTCTTGATCGCCTGTGCGTTTTTTCTTTTACTAGTAATGGCGGCGATCGGCGAGTTATAGCGGGACTGTGGCGGGCATTCTAGATTGTAAGCTCCCAGGACCAGGCCCTCCTATCCCTCTTGTTTTGAACTGTATTGTTGCTGTATTGTCTCCCGTTATATTGTAAAGCACTGAGTAAACTGTTGGCGCCATATAAATCCTGTATAATAATCTCTTAGATTGTAAGCTCCCAGGATCAGGCCCTCCTATCCCTCTTGTATTGAACTGTATTGTTGCTGTATTGTCTCCCGTTATATTGTAAAGCGCTGAGCAAACTGTTGGCGCCATATAAATCCTGTATGATAATAATAATAATTCTGACATTGGGGGGAAACTGACTTTGTGTCACTGACATCCTCAGTAACACCAATACAGTGAACAGTGCTAATAAAAAGCATTGACACTGTACTAATGGCACTGGGCAGCAAGGGATTAACATGAGGGGCGATCAAAGGGTTAACTGTGTGCTGGGAGTGTTTTACTAGGGGGCGGTGTATTGGTGCTTCACTATAAGCTCAATGGCGACGATCAGCGAGTTATAGCGGGACTGTGGCGGGCATTCTAGATTGTAAGCTCCAAGAGGAGCAGGACCCTCCTATCCCTC